TGTCAAATCGTCTACAGAGAACTATGATTCGTTTCGATTAGTATTGCGTATTCGCTATTTAGGCGAAACCATTTCCCGGCAACACGGGCGGCATCGCTTCTAAAGCCACACATCGACCACGACGAGAAATGTCGTCTAGATTCTTGTAAAACTAAATTTGGAGGTCACGCGTTTGAACGGGGGTGAGAGAAGATATTTGTCATACTTCTGAAGTCAACCTAGTACACTGATGCGGCGACCTACAATGGTCGTCACCGACACCAGCTGCCCTGCTTGTTGCGCCGAAGCAACCTGCGACCTATATTCGCACTCCAGGCAACCCACTTCTAAAATAATGTGCCCTACAATTTCTCGACACTCTGCGGAGTGCCCTGCTTTCAATGACTCATTACTGACACGACGGCACAGTTATATTTAACACGAGGTGGAGTGGGCGTTTATACGCTACGTGCTGGTTCATACGAGGAAACAAATGGAAACAGTCCGGGGACATAGGGTAGTTTGTGATTTTCATCAAATTTTGAATATCCAGAAAGTTGTAATCCATGACCACCGAACAAGCTGAGCTTTTCAAAAGTCAAATGTGAATGTTCTAACTACAGATTAGGCACGAGTAACACACGAATAAAACGATATGTTGGACCATTCTTAAATTAACGATTTTCCACATATCGAATCGAAATTTATTTAATTATGGTGACGCTTGTTTTATAGCGGTTTAGGTTGGGGTGTATGCATGTCCGTAGCGCTGTCATAGCGAATAATATATCACCAATGTTCGTTTCATTACACACAGAATAGAATGTTCCAGGTGTTCAAATTGGCTAGATATTTGAAAAACTATCAAATTCATTGCCTTAGTCGGTGATATATAATTGACTAATTATGTAGCTATGCGATTGAGTTCGTTTTAATCATCAAACAGATCTTGAATTTGAAATTTAACTTCGCCAAGAATGATAATACGGTGTGCCTGCTCATAATTAAAATAATTTCGAGCGCAGACGGGTGACACCGTTACATATTCATTGTACGTTGCAGTACCTGTTGGCAGATGTATTTACAGTGGCGTCATTGTCGCTTCGCATTATGGGTAATCATTTGCATGACTAACTGACGTAAGAAGCAGGTCATCATCGATTTGATGATGGATAACATATGCAACGTTAATAACGAAACGAGTTGGCGAGACGGACTCGGAACACAATGCGTGTCTGGGTCCCTGATGTCTTTGCAGAAAGTGCACCACCTGCCCCGAAGTCACTGCGTGCCAGACCCTAGTAACCGTAAACAGTGAAATAATCCTTGGAAATTTGATGTATACATGATTATTTAAATATCCCGAAGTATAATTTCGTTAATCGATACAAATTTTTATAAGATTTTGTGTCGTATATATTCGTCATCGTATTTTTATCTAACACCATGGTTTAGATAGTGTGAGTAATTTCATTGTAATCGTCATAAAAGTGTTGAAATTAAAGTTTAAAGTTTAAGAATTAAATATACTATAAATGCAGACGCAGAATATGGTATCTCATGGCGATATCACGCTGGGGAGGGGTGATACATGATATGTAGTGACATCCAACTGTTGACATCACTTGTTAGAAGGGTGTGGCTGCTTGTTTGATGATTTCCAGTAGGAACGAATGACACCATTCTGTTCGTGTGTACCGCACGACCGACATGTACACCGCGCGTGCACCCAGTGGGCGGCGCACCTTTTTTTTCAGTGACGCCGTTACCACAATGTATTGTGGGTAATGAATGTATGAATAATTAACGTAAGAAGCAGGTCATCGTCGCTTTTACAATGAGTTACTCGTACTTATGTAAGGTTAATAACGAGAGATGTTGGCGAGACGAGAGGCAATACGTGCCTGGGATGTTGATCTGTTAATGTAGACCGATACAATTACGCCACCTATTAGAGTCACCGCACGCCAGATTCTAGTAATCGTCACGGCGGACAATATGCGTCGGCAATCTGCGGTATTAATGCTGTATTATATTATACACGCGATTTTGGCTGTAATTTCGTCTGTAAAACTTGGATGGTTTTGGAGATATTTCATTAGTAGCCTGACATTGGAAAGTAACGCAAGGCAAACAAGTTGTCGAAAAGTATAAAAAAAAATATAACATTAATAACGAGTGAAGAAGTGTAAGATTGTAGTGCCTTAATATAGCACAATATAGCATACGTTTATATGTTCAGTATTTTATTTTCAATATTTTGAGTGTAACGCACAAAATGGCTGCAGTATAAGTGGCAGGACAGTAATTCGAACACACACTAGAATGACAATGCGTGTTAGTCACGTTGGCCGTCCCCATTGCAACGAACATCATTATTACACGAGTCTAAATATCCTGAGCAATATAATGACAAATTGATAAGAATTGACATTTTACATGTTCCTTCCTGTAACGGTATTAATCTTTAATATCATCATTAGTTCCATCGCAATCGGAAAAGACTGAATGTTTACAAACCGGTGTACATTCATGCGTAAACCGATGAAAACCAATGCCTTTCCACAGTCCATTCTAGCAACTGTCTGTATTTTAGTAGATTCTCTGTTTAGACATGTCTTGATTGCAATAATAAATTGCAGAAATATACCAGCGACTAATTCATATGTCACTTGTTGAATTATATCTCCATGACAATGATGACCCAAGTTCCAATTACAGGTTTCAAAACCAGATCGACCTAATTACTAATACATATTCTGAATCAGAGTATAAAGCCTGATTGGCTATACGATGCGTCAAAAATAGAAGGTCGAAATCCGTGTAAGTGCCAGTATTTCGGGTGAGCGATCCCATTACCTGTTACAGAGGGGTGGTAACTACAATTTTTACCTTTTGGTTAATATTTGCATAGGGTGGTAGACACCATTTATAGAAAGGGGTGACGGGTCGTTTCCATTTTCAGAACCAAGGGAGTATGTAATTAAATTAAATTCACAATAAATGAAAAGTTGTACGTCAGTACAGACAGAAATGAAAATGACCCCGAAAATAATTATACCATGCAGTTAGAAGGAGAAATGTTGCGCCTCCTTGCACATATAACTCCCTCCTGTGTTTTAATTAGATCTAGGTTAGTTTGACCCTGGGCAAGCGCGGTCAATGCCCTGTTTAAGGTCACGTCCTTCGAAATAGTTCAGTGCACTTTCAGTCACCATGAACCGTTAAGGCCGTTGTCCTGTCGGTAAACACACCCTTTTATGTAGATACAATAGTAATCTGATCCGTTAAACATTGTACATAACTGCCGCTGCTCTCTTTGCCGGGATTCGTGATTTAAGGTCAACAAGATTCTCACGATGAGTGAACAAAAACAATAATTTCAACACATGCTGCCACTTTTTGCAGATATCTATGCAAACATTTAACAGACAGTTCCATGGTAATTACAATATATTGAACACTTGAAGGAAAGTTTCCACTTCTACGCTATGATTGCCGTTGGCGATGTACGTACACGTAAGGCTTAATTTCGACATTGCCCTTTCATATGTAATGATAACAACGACGAATTTATTGACGGCGCCCCCAGCGACACATTTTGATGAAAAAGTGGCGCTCTTCGTCGTTTTAATCTGTTACATTATGGGTCTATACTAATGTTATCAACGAGATATACAAATTCAACTTACATCAGACTTAAGACAATTCATCGCTGACTTCACTCCATTGTGACCCCTGAAAAAAACCCACAAATTTATTGATCACCAATTCTTTGATCAAATTGAATGTTTCATTGAATTCTACTGGGCAACCATGTGCAACATAGTCTGCTCTACATTTTGCAGTCATTTAACTCAACAGTCGATCACGATATCTGCCTCCTCTGATCCCCAACATATCACACAAACACGTGGACCCACGTGCTTTGAAATTATCTCTCAACGACACCACGATACGTCACGATTATCACATTTTGGTACATAATTCTGTTTCAACCCACTTTGTTTTATCTTATCTATAATACTTGGTTGTACCCCCAAACAACCATGTTTCCATGCAAATGGGAATGACGAAACGAAAGTATAATAATATACAACGTAGACGGCGCTATGTTGTTGAGCGTGTTTATTTTTTATAAATCAAACTTTCAATGCAGCATTTAATTAATACCTTGCACTTCCATTTAATTTAATGCTGTATTTACCAAAGGACCGATCCAAGTCATCGTGTATAAGGTAAATATCACTGGGTTGTAACTCATACTTTTTTGCTGAAAAAAAAAGAAAGAAAATGTTCATATACTTGATCGAGCAATCCATTTAAACGTTGAGTTGACATTCACATAAGCAGAGTAAATGCGTTCACAACAAACATCGAATTGCAATCAAAGAAGATGTATATACCCACAATCTCATTCTACGGGATAGGCTTGTTCAAGGTTCGTTCACAGTGACGTCATTGTTAACTCTTGTACCTACCTAAATTTACATCAAAAGATTTATTGAAGTACTTCAAATATTAATCCTCGGGGGCGGAGCTACGTCACAGACGTTCTACGTTGCTAAGACGCGCACCACTGTACCACGTATTTCTATGGGCTTTGTGCGCGCTGCTGTGGAACGCCGGTGGAGCCGGTGAAAACTCGAGAAAACAACACAAACTCAACTTTGAAGTAATCCCGAACAACCAAATTCATATATGTTACACACGTAGGGCCAATCTTGTTACACTGTTCAGGGGACTCTCAACAACCATCGCAAAGTACCGTTTTCTGCGAGTTTTTGGTCTTTGTTTTCACCGCGAGGGTTGGCAGGCGGTAGAAAATGCCCGGATGTCCGCCCCCGAGGATACATAACGTCGTATCACATAGAGTGTAGTAAATATATGCAAATTTGTATTGCGGATTACTTCATTGACGATTATAAGACAACTAGACACGATCGAGGATAGTCAAGACGGCGAATTTGATGACGTACTTTTTATTTTTATTTATTTCAATATAACAAATGGATTACTGCCCATTTACAGGCTACGACGTTCCAGTCACCCCGCGGTAATCCGTTATTCACTGGAATAGACATGTTGCGATTTGAACAGCACACGAGATCGACAGCTTTACGTCCCGTCCAAATGAACGCCGCGAATGCTGCGGCTCTGAGCCCGGGCGTGAGCAGTATTTACTCTCTCTTTTTCACTATTAATGCGACACTGTGACCCAGTATAATGATATATTAAATAATTTTTCTGACACCATATTTAGGATGTATTTTTATGTAGTAGCGTGTGATGCTACAATAACGAAGTGTTTTATCAAGTAATGATTCCGCATCTAAAACTACCGAGGTGGACTTACCACATTTTACAATACTCAACCCATTCACGTTCATGAATAGCCTTGGTTTCAGTAAAATCAGGTGATGATCACCATCAATAGTTGTCACAGCAACATCTCCAAAACATTTCCTATCTTTATGCCATGTCAACCCCATCTGATTGGCTATTCTATTCACTGTCGTCATTCCCACGCTGTGTCGAGTGTCTGGCATAGTGTAGTTACCGAGACCAACAACCTGAAATATTGTGACAAATAGGATAATTAGCATAGGAGTTGCGTATTATTACGCCGATCAAATGACCATATAAACTCCCTGTGGAGCATCATCATAACATTTTTCATATACTAGTAACATCTTTTTGGCGAACGTCTGTCTGAGGCAGCAAGCTAATCTATTCTCCAACAGTCGCCTACATTCAATATATTTTTGAAGTGTGTTCCTTACTTGCCAATTGTCTACCGCAAGAATGGCTGACAATCTTTGCCACATGAGGTGTGAATTTAGCTTTTATTATCTTGCAGTGTGACGCAATTTGCAATATATGTTACGCAATGTAGTCCACGAAATACCCTAGTAGAAATGGACATTCTAATACTTAATGACGAATGACGTAGAAAGATTGTGTTTTTATCTTACCTCCGCAATAACT